TCGCATTTCTAGAGAGACGTTGAACTTTAAGCAGGGTAAGCCACCTCCCGCAACTTGACCCCTACACATAATGCAGACCACAGCTCCCACCACATCAGTCCTGCGTAGGCCATTGGTTAGGATTGTGCAATGTGTGTTTCAGCGCAACTGGAAGGCTTTAGGTTCAGTCAAGCTCTTCTAAAGGAACAATAGGTTGCACTTTCAAAGCCCTGACCCAAACTCCAGCAAATAATGCCATTGCCTGACATACCTGAAGGTATCTGGTTGAGGGAGGATGTGCCAAGACATGGCTTATAGAAGGCAGGTCTGCAGCTCACAAGGACACTCGGGAATTGTTTGTGTATCGCAAAGCCCTTCTTCCTCCTCTGACAGAAGTAAACAACTATTGTAGTAACAAACAAGTCGCATTCGTTTGTCCCTGGGTTGTTTGTTTAGCCTAAAACCATGTGGACTAGTAGTTTCCGTTGAGTTATTTGCAAGGCTACCATAAAGTATTTTACAAAGGCAAAGAGGACATTTCTCTTACATACACTGTTCATCATGGCTACGAACTTGCAATTTAGAATTAACAAAGAAACAAATTAATGGCATGAACCACAGCCCTCCCCAGCCTTCCATTTCTCCCTAATACAGAGGCACGGTTCTCCCCACAACAACCAAGCGCTGTTTTGTTTACATTTTTCCCCTCTTGGAGACAAGGATGACCCAGCCAAGGATTTATTTACATAACAACAAACCACAGGGGAAGGAGCTGTCCAAGTTTTCCTGCTGGATTTGTGACAGTAAAAGAGAACGTGCTTCTGCATCTGGAGACCGTGATATTTTACACATTGTTGGGAGCAGAAATGGGCCCTGGAGTGAGTTCAGATTCCAATGAGTTACATAACCTTCCAGCTACAAGATGTAAGAGTCCTTTGCTGAACACATTTGAAAAGGCCACTTTCACATTAACAAGCGCAAGCAAACTTCTGAATTCTCCGAGAGGACTTTTGGAGTTGCTTACTTCCAAGGAGAGAGAGAACACCAGTACTTTCTAAGACACCTTGAAAACCATGACCTGTGTGTGGTTTAGGAGCTATTGCAAAGCAGCTCAGGACCTACCTGCCAGCATGGAGACGTCTGGTCCCATGGCTGTCAATGTCTCGATTCCTCAGGGCCACCTCCTGTGTGGGCAATTGCTGGATGTCCCTGTGCATTCTCCAAGGAAATGGCACGGTCCAGGTCTGAAGATGACCTGGGGCATGCAGCTGACAGTTCCAGTCAGGCAGGTGCTCAGCCCCAGACTGGCAGGAATGAGGTTCCAGGGGGAACTCAAGGTAGTTAAAACCACAAAGGGGGTTGCACTGCAAGCCAGGAGTCAGGAAAAGCGGAATATAAACTCAGGCGGAGTCTTCTCAGCAGAAGAGGGGCTCAAAATTCAATTTGAAACTGGACCGCCATCTGAGTGGGATGGTGTGACATGGTGTCCTGCAACAGCAGGGGGTTGGACCCGATGGCCTTCATGGCCCCTTCCAACTCTACTCTTCTATGATGCTATGAAGGGAAGGATCGTGCCCAGACAATCCATAGGGTCTGGCAAGCAAGGAAGGTGGCACCAAAATATTCAGGCAGATGGGCCCTGTATGCTGTAGGGCATCCTTGTAGCCAGGGATGCTGGAGAAACATTGAACCGGGGCGGGGGGGGGGGGGGGACTTACAAGGCTCTGCAGCGCGATAGCTGCACGTCCTGATTCAAGACACACACACACACACCCGGCACCATACCCTGCTCTCTCTGGGCAGGAGAGACACGCTCACATTCGAAAGCAAGGCTTCTTCCAAACCTCCTCCAGCGCTCTATTGCCTTGCCCATAGCCTGCCTTGTTTACGAACGCTCCTATGCGTGTTTTGCCCTTCTCACTACAAGGATCCCAAGCAGCAAAATCATTAAGCCACATTTGAAGGCTCTGCTCCAATAGTTGGAAACGAAGTCTTGAAAAAGAGGATGGGAAACCTACGGCATGTTCACTCCATCCTTCTCAAGAAACAAAACCCATGTGATGGGCTCAAAACCCCCTACCTGCCTCGGACTTTCTCTGTGCCCCTCGCAAAGGACCAGGCCGGCCCGCCCTCTCATGCAGAATCGACTTTCAGCATCAGAATCAACACCAGAGCTGCCTGTCGCCTCCAAAACAGCTTTGCGGCCAGTTGCTAATTAGTCTCTTGCCAGATCCAGTTAAGAAGCATGCTAGTGATGGCCTCCTCAAAGAATGCAACCAACATTATACAAAAGAGAGGTTTTTTAAAAGGCAGAAGTCTACCATACCATACTCTAAGACAGAAAGTCTGGGGGTCTAATCCAGCCTTCCAGCCCCAATCCCTTCTCCCAAACACACATTTTTGGGTGGCTTGCCAGCTTCTACACAATTTCTCTCCCATTTGGAAAGGTTCATATGATATTCCCCTGTGATCTGGTTACTGGTAATATGTGCATTAAGCTAAAATACACTGGTATTTTGTTTCACATTTTGGCCCTGTCCCCCCTGCCCCATCCATGACTGCTTTGCACCCACAAGAGTTTCCCTGAAACTGAATTCAACCCTTGGACCGAAAGAGACATCCCTTCCCCTTGTGAGCAAAACACAGGACATGCAAAATCATCATCAGAGGCAGCTAACAGAACAATGGGTTGCATCCAAGAGCAGTTTCAGGCATCATGAAAATGCAAGGGGCCGGGGGGGGGGGGGATCAGAAGTACATCCCAGGCATCCTCTTCCTGCGCATTTCAGTCTCGTTCAAAACAGAAGTTTCCTCTACTACAAACCAGATTATTCAGAGAAGACATATTTGAAATTGCCGGAGGAGAACTGGTCTTAAGGTCTTGTTTATACAATAGACATTCAGGGTGACCATATGAAAATTACCCCTTCAAAGAAATTGTAACCACAGTGACTGCCCCTATAGATAGATACCTGAATTAAACCGGATTGAGATTCTGGAGTGTTTTGCCAGTAGAACATGTTCCATAAATGGATGATACAGTGCTGATTAAAATAGATCCAGAGAGGCCAAGAAAACAGATCACGAAGCGTTGCCACTGAAAGACCTTGCTGCCTCGACGAATCGATTGGCCCCAACCCTTTTAAAGCGTGGACACGTCTTCTGAAAGCGAGTTCCAACAGCCATGTCCATGCAACAAGATCACTCTTCTGCAAAATCAGCAAGACTCTGCAGCATGTTACTAATCTGATTGCAAAATGAGTGCTTTGGGATTGTTCTAAGACAAAAAGAGATCCTTTGAGGATCTCCTTGTTTGTTTCAGAGAAAGCAAAATGCTTTTTCATTTATTTCTTAGCTGTGTTTGTAATTGTAGCTCTTGCTCCCTTCCCCTCTCGAAACCCACAGAAGGCAGAATAGAGTCTCCAGGTGCCTATATTAAAAGGCAACAAAGAATCTCCAATTAAATGCACAAAAAGCTCATAAACGAGCCACGTTAGTTGAGGAGTCTCCTCTTCTACTGGAAACAGGAAATATAGTCAGTTCACTTTGTGGCTGGAAGGCCCATGAGCGTCACCCACTCTTTCCTCCCGGTGAGAACCATGTGCCTCAACCCTGTACTGAGCGGAGAGCTTTCACTGGAAAGGAGTCAAGGGAGGAAACCACCCCATAGTAATCCTCAGAAGTTATATTTAGACCCACTTGAAATGCCACTGACGCAGCGGAAAGAGTCACTTCCCCATGGATTGAGTTCTACAGTACTTGGAGGAGGCTGCAGAGGTCAGAGATCCGCCGAAGGGCAGGTATGAGCAAGAACGCCCAGGGGGTCGTACCCCAGCAAGAGCCCAGGGGGTTTGCACACCTCCTTTGCATCGCGGCAATGGGCTTGTGGTGTGTCTCTGGCCCAGACCGCACTGAAGAGGAGGTGGCACCTCAGAAAGACTGCATGCTCTGCGCCAGGACAAGGAGCAAGAGCAGTTGGTGAGCACAGCTGTGGGGAGAGGAGGTGGATTCTTGCCCTCAAGCCCCCGGGGGCAACATGGAGAGAGACGGGGGCAAACCAAGCAGTCTTTTCTCCTGCCAGTGTTGCTAGCATTTTGGAGAGAGACAAGAACCCTGCCATCCACCTGCCCTCTCCGTGAATGTTACGGGAACTGTGTGGGACTGGTTTCAAAAGTTCTCTGGGAACGCCCGAGTGCTGTGCTGAAGGAAGACTCTGACCAAAGCCAGCCTTTGAGAACTCTCTGCTTCTTCTCTAATTCCAGGAAAATGGCAGAAAACCTAGAGCGAAGGAATGCGTCAAGGTGAGAGACAGAGAGCTCAATTTCTGTAGATTGCATTGCTCTCTGTTCCTCGCCACAGCCTGTAGCTAAAGGACAGCAGATACAAAACAGAGAAACACATGCCCATTTCCCTAATCTGAATGAATTTATGCAAGTTGCATCATTCTGCAATGCTCGGTGCTGAACTAAACTAATTGAAAAACGCAGAAAAGGACCAGGAAAAGAGCATTGCCCCCTCCAGAGCTGTACCCTTACTAAGGTTCTGAAGTCCTGAAATGCAAAGCGAATGTCCACTTCAGAAATTCCACTTCCTGAAAATCTATGCTATCTTTTAACATGTGTTAAACAGGCCAAGTTTCTAGTCCCTGTGGCTGTAAAAGTATCCTTGAAAGTGGGTGAGCAAAACCTGCTGAAATCTCACAAGTCAGAGAAGTGGCTGCTTGCAACATCCAATGATAAGAGAATAGGACCACCAAGACTTTTGTGGCAACTCATGTTTCAGCAAAACCAAAACAAGACAGCCCAAGTCCTCTGTGTTTACTTTATATAATGGCTGCAGCAGCAGAACTCATATTTTTGTATGGCATTGCTTGCTTTCCAGCACAGAATATATAAGTCAGAAATACAGCATTGCTTAAAATTGAGAGCAGGGAGGAAATAAATAAAATAAATAAAGGGAAGGAGAAAGGAAAGGGATCAAGATTTTCCTGAGATCTGTTCATATAAAGTTCCAGAACTTACCTTGGGCACAAGATAACCAACCACCCAATAATGTCTGTATGTTGGAGGGAGTCAAGGCAGCATTGCCAACTGAGGACGTCCGTGCCAGTCTTTCAGCATCAATATCCTGGAGGAAGCAAAACCAATACGGAATTAACAAGCCAGCCAGCGGGAATCAAAAGCCGGTGGTGAAGCGCCGGCTTCCTAGCCCTGCACACCTCGCTAATCGCTCCTGTGCAAACCAGCGGGAGGTTTTGTGGACGGCACATCATCCAAGAAACTCCGCAGACATCTCCCTGGTATGCTGGAAATTCAGTACATGACAGGAGGCAGCAAAAGTAGCACCTTCGGGATTTCGGCTCGCTCCAAGCTGTGAGTCATCGTCATCTCTCGAACTCATGGAAATTTAAGCAGGGGAGTAGCGGGGGGGAAGGGGACAGCCGAGAGCAATGACCACCCTCACGTACTCCCTCTCCCGCTCTCTTCGGGATTAACAGAGCCTCTCTCCACGCAAATCGTCCACTCAACTCAGAGGCAAAGCACTTTAAGCACGCAGACATTTTCAGACATTACGGTAGCGTAGGCCAAGCGGACAGAAAGGGAATCTCGGTGCCCAGCAGACTTCCTGCCCCTCCTGAGCTTTATTTTACTTCGTAAGATTTTTTAATTCAAGCCTGCTTTTTAGCTGGCCTGTGAGGCACTGTCCCCCAGGGACATCTTTCTGGGGTTCCAAAGAGTGGTTTTGTGCAGTCAGTCTCTGCCTTGTGCTTCACTTCTTGGGCAAGTCGCTGTAGTTTTGTCTCAATAGTTTGTGTCCACCAGCCCAAAGCCTGGAGACCCCTGGCACCGAAGCAATCAAGAGCAACCGTTACTCAAATAGGAGCAACAGATTACTTTCATCCCTGGTCATGTGCATGTGCTTGCTCTCTCTCTCTCTCTCGCTCTCTCTCACACACACACACACACACACACACACACGAGCAGACAGTCACCTGTTTTCCTGTACACCTGCTGATCCAGCAAGAGTTGGCCACCAAGGCAGCCATACAAATAAATCCACCAAAGTTAGTAGTCCCTATGACCTTCTGCTTATCCAGCTATATCTACACCCACCCCCCACCGTAGGCTACTAAAAAGCAACTGCTCATTTCTGATGGATCAGACAAGCAGACGCATGGCTATTTAAAATCCTAAACTCGAAGAAGCTTCCCACACGTGCATTCAGGCAGCGTAAAGGAGTGCAGGGCTTACATCTACCCAACACCACTCAGGTTGGGCAAAAGGAAAGAACGGGAAATGGTCTCCCGTCAGGAGCCAATATGCATTCCAGTCCTAGACTGCTCCGCTTCAGCCTAGAACGGACTCTGGGGGTGCAAGTGGGGCGTATCAAGCCAGAGACAACTTGTGACAGCTCTCACAAAACAGGGGTCTGGGGGCTTTTAAAATGGTGATGCTGTCCAAGGGGTCAGCATCTTCATGTGTCACAGCTGCACTATGAAACTAAATGACTTTAAAGCAGATTCTTGTTTATTTCAGTCGAGTTTCCCATCCCAACATGGGAATGCAGAGAAGGCCAAATGCATCTAAGCTGCCTTGAGCCCTTTGTAGGAAAAAGGCAGGATATAAATCACAATATAAATAAATAAATGCAGTTCCTCAAAAGGAAATGTCTCCCCACTACATAAAACTTAAGTCCCGACTTCAGAACAGTTCCAATTTGTTTTTAAAAGTCTGACAAGCCATCTTCTCAGCTCCTCTGCAGCAGAAACTAAACAAGTAAAAATAACCAAACTGCCCTGTAATACAGAAAGTGTCTAATTCAGCTTCACTGCGAAAGCCACAAGTCCCATCCCTCGCATCCCGCCTGCTCCCCCGTGGAAGACCTTTCATTTGCACCTCGGAGTATTTCTGCATTACTGTGCTAGTTTTACCTCATTTGCGATAAACTCCACCTGTTTGCCAACATGTTCTGCCTCCTGCCTCTCTAGAAAAAGAACTGCTTTCAAGTCCTCTCCCTCCCTCCCTCTTCTCCTTCACTTTATTCCAAAAGAATGAAGTCCGGGTCTATTAGCAATGAATACCATGCAGTGAAGCAGCGGCAGAAATCACTCGCTCCATCACTTGCACTGAACCGAAGGCAACATAGCAGATGCTATTCAAAGCCAGTCAAAGCTTGGGCTTTCATCTTCCTCCTTCATAGCCATCGGCACTCAGAGACTTCCTTGTAAGGCCGAAGTTAAAATGTGAGTTGGGATAGCTAGTCTGTGTTAAGCTATCTTGAATGGGTTTTTCAACCCAGTTGACAGTTGGGAGGAAGAGAGCCCGGGTGGGCAGGAACAGACTGCAATCTGTGTGAATCAACTGGAGAGCCTTTATTCTAAAGTAATTGATAAGGAGCTCAAAGCTAAGATTTTACACATGTACAAACGCTACATACCCGGCTTGACTTGCACAAAAAGCAAGGGTGAGAGCAAAGAGGGGCTGGCTGAATCTGCGAGTTTAAACTAATCAATTTTCACTGGAATTTTTTCCAGAAGCAGAAGCATCTTCTCTTCCCCATCTTTTTTACCTACCCCCTACTTGGGTTATAGAAAGCATGGCAGACTCCACTGTGTTCCACTTAAAGTCCACCTTTCCGGCACAGAGCCAAGCTGGCCTGCATAATCCTTCTCTCCATTTTATCTTCAACAGCACCCTGTGAAGTAGGCCGAGAATCGAATCAGTGATGGGCCAAAAGACAGCCATGTGGAGTGGGCCAAGTGCGGGACAGAACTGGGTCTCCCAAGAGACCACTACACCACACTAGCCAACGAGCCGGAGGGGTCCACTGAGAATGAGGCCCCCAGGAGATCCCCTCCTACGGCACTAAGCCCAGGCAGCCTTCCCGACACAGTCCAATGAGCACCAAGTGGCCAGGCGTGTCCATTTTTAAATTCCCCACAATGCCTTTCGGTGATGCCACATTGGGGATCTGGAAGAAAATTAAAATGGAGGCTCCTAAAATCAGCCACTGAATGGAACACCTTTTTAAGCATCAGCGCTTAAGATTCTGAGATAGCTTCACTTATCTTTTGAATGGCTTCTGCCAGCTGTCCCTGAAGAAGCATTGGAAGATGTAAGATATTTGGGGCAGTTAATGACTCCTCGGTGTGCTTCTGAGCTTTTCTCTCTTTACAGTATGAATTTGGTGCCCTCCTCCCCTTCCCTGGTTTAAAGCTCTGTTCTCACAATCCACCAAATAATTCTTCCCTCTGCTGAAATTAGCTGTACTTTTCCATTTCTTTCAAGATCAAGGCGAATATATCCAGTAGCTCTTCAGACTCAAGAACAGCTTGCAGCAAAGGTTTCACTCGGCGCACGAACAATTCCAGGGTAGGCAACTGAAGCTGTTTGCTCCATTACCCATAGACCACATCACTCTGTTTGTTTGGAGCCGGCCTGAAAGACGGTGCCAATTAATCTCCTTCAATGGGCATGATCAACGCCAACTCGACTAGCACCAGCACGGCAGTTTCTGCAGCTTCTGAAGCTTAATTTGAACTGCCCAATGGCCCAGCACACGTGGACACAGGAGAGGGTTATGACCCCAGAGATCGGGACTTCCGTTTTTGGAACAAGTTAGTCTAAAGACTCCCTTCCCATGTTCCTGTACCGAGTCAGCCCGGTACTGTTGATGCTACCTGGAAGTGGCTGTCCAGAGTCTCAGGGTGGAGTTCTTCCAGTCCCAGGGCTGCCGCTCCCACGGAGCCACAGACCTCCAGGCGGAGGATGACACATGTTCAGCTCTCCCAAGCTTCACGCAACACTTGACTGTGCAAATCAGAAGCAACGTGGCGAGGTTAGAATCACAAACACTTTCCTTTGCTTAAGTCCACCCAGCTCAGCGTTTTAAACCTCAGGACTTGCTCCAATTCCGGCCCTCTGGGAACTACTCAGAGGCCTCCCCTTGGCCACCCCGCCTAATCCCATCATTTGGTGCTTTCCAGGCATTTGCTTCTTCCTTCATTTTAGAAGGTTGATGCCTTGCCTTTCCTACTGGTAGTAAGAGCTTTAAATTAAAATATTCTGGAACTCTGGTCCCATCCCTATTGCCTGCGGCTCCCCCTCCACTGGTCCCCCAAGAATTTATGTTAACTAATTCAGCCCTTGGCTAAAAGGGGTTGAGATCGAGCTTCTAGCAACAGCTCTGCAGCCTAAAAAAAGGATGCTTTTCCCACTGCTCCAACCTCTTCAATAAAAGATAGCAGAAGCAGGCAAACCACGTCTTCTGCTACTGTGGTCCTGCTCCAAGCCAAAAAAATGCATGAACTGTCATTGTGCAACAGAATCCCGATCATAGGCAGATTCTTTTATTTATCTTTGTTGTTGCTGTTTCATTTTTTAAGTGGAAAACGGATAGTTCTATCTGAGTTCCGCATCGCACAAGCCAAGTCACCCGCTGTTCCCTGCGTGGGAGCTTGGCTGGACCTCGCTTTGCAGACTCTCCCAAATTGCGGCCAGTCCAGTCACACAAACACACACACACACACACACACACACTTCAAATAAAATGCATTTTGGTGCAAGGACCCAATCAGAGCCAAAATAAAAGCCCGCACACAGGCAATCCACATTCTGTGTGAATTATGCCAAATTAAACTTGTCTGCCTACTTCATCCATCTTATTTTGCAGAGCGTATTCTGCTAAGGAGCCGTACAGAGGAGCACAGACACACCAGCTGCATTGCCCTCTCCAGTAGAAAGACCACAATTTCTGTGAGTAATAGAGGCAGCAAATCAGCTCCTTTTTTATTCCCATAAAATCACAGAACTTTGATGCCTACAATAGAATATTCTCCAGAACATCTATGGACTGGTTGCACTAAGCCTCCATTGTTCTAACAGGCCAACATCAACCTCTCTCAGTTCTGTTTCATGTGTTTGAGGCCTGAGATAAGCCACTGCAGAATAGTTTGAAGACTAAACATTTGCTCGAAATGACAGACGGACAAAAACAGCCTGTCTCAGAACTGTCACCACTCCATCTGCTCTCCAGAGCAGGGATAGTCAATTCCCCAATCTATGCCTCATTTCATCCCCAAATTAGTGAGAATGGGAACCTCAACTTTCCTTTCTCAAACAAGTTTCAAGTCTTTAATGGCTGTTATAAAGATAAGATGTGTGGATGTTCTAACTGCTGATTCTACAGAAAAGTTACATGGCCCCAGGTTTCAAAAGAAACCAAACTATGTTAGCTAAACTATCTTTGGTTTAGCTAGGAAGAAAGAAGAGAACAATCAACAATTAGGGATCTTTCAAAGTAAGCACGTACTCATGCCAAGGGTGCAAAAG